CAACAGACAACCCACCTCAGCAGACAACCCACCTCAGCAGACAACCCGCCACAACAGACAACCCACCTCAGCAGACAACCCACCTCACCAGACAATCCACCTCAAAAGACAACCCACCTCAGCAGACAACACCTCAGCAGACAACCCACCTCAACAGACAATCCACCTCAACAGACAATCCACCTCAACAGACAACCCACCTCAGCAGACAACACCTCAGCAGACAACCCACCTCAGCAGACAATTCACCTCAACAATCCACCTCAACAGAACCCACCTCAGCAGACAACACCTCAGCAGACAACCCACAAGCTTCCACCTCGACCCCACAACTTTCCTCTCCACATTGTTCAGAATACTGACATACAAAAGCAACCACAATTTAAGGTAAGAAATATTATTTCTATAACATTTGTAGCCTTAAACAAGGCACTAATCAAAATACAACACGACAACCAATAACAATTACGTTACCAACTGTTGTTGAGGGACTAGTAGCTAATTTTGGGGTGTGGGGGGAATGAAAATGGGGGTTGATTATGAGTAATAAGTATTTTAAGAAGAGCATAAATAAGTATACAATATATAATATTTCACGTAATAAAAGTAATTTGTTAAGTTATGTATTGGTGGATAAAAGGTTGATGGGTAGATTTCAGGATGTACAGGTTTATATAAGGGCAACAGATATATTGGATCATTTATTTATTTATTTATTTATTTATTTATTTCCAATTTGTGCACACATACAGAGGTACAAAAAAAATACAGATAAGAGCAGTATGCCAAAGCCACTTATACTATGCATAGCATTACGGGCTGGCTTAAAATTAACTTAAGATTAACTAAGCAATGATTATTATTATTATTATAATCAAAAAGAAGCGCTAAAGCCACAAGGACTATACAGCGCTGCTACTAAGCAATGATGAAATCAGTGATAAAACATTAATGTAAACAGATAACTATAAAGCACAAGTGAGTATTACAAAGACAGGTCATATGGTTGCATTCAGTTAGGTAGTGATTCTGTTAGGTAGTGTATTTAAAAAATAATAAAGTTAGATTGGGTTTTAGGTTTAACATTTATGTGATATAATTGTGAGAAACATTTAAGATATACAATTTATAATGTTCAGTTATTCAGTATTTATTTGGTTTTGGGTGAGTAAGTAATCTTTGAGAAGAGACTTGAATTTATAAACAGGTTGTGTTTCTTTTATATTTACAGGTAATGAATTCCAGATTTTAGGGCCTTTTATGTGCATGAGTTTTTGCATAGTGTGAGATGGACACGAGGAACATCAAAGAGTGATCTGTGCCTTGTGTTATGGTCATGTGTTCTGTTGAGGTTGGCAAGGAGATGTTTGAGGGGAGGGTTAATATCAGAGTTAAGTGTTCTATGTATGTAATAGGTGCAGTAATAAGTATGGATGTTTTGTATGGTGAGTAGGTTTAGTGTATTGAATATTGGTGGAGTGTGCTGCCTGTAGTGAGAATTTGTTATCATTCTAACTGCAGCCTTTTGTTGGGTAATTAGTGGTCTGAGATGGTTAATTGTTGTTGAGCCCCATGCACAAATTCCATAGGTGAGATAGGGGTAAATAAGAGAGTGATATAGGGCCAGGAGGGCTGACTGTGGAACATAGTACCGTATCTTCGATAGTATGCCTACAGTCTTGGAAATTTTCTTAGAAATTTGATGTATATGTGTATGAAATTTGAGTCTATTATCAAGGTGGATTCTTAAGAATTTTCCCTCTGTTAGTTTTGTGATAGGTGATCCATTATCATTATGTTAAGAGGGACATCTGTAGCTCTGTTACCAAACTGAATGAAGTAGGTTTTGTCAATGTTTAGTGTAAGTTTGTTAGTCCTCATCCAGGTAGATATTTTCTGTAATTCGGTATTTACAGTATTGGCTAGCGTGACTGGGCTCGGGTGAGAGAAGACGTATGTAGTGTCATCTGCAAATAGTGTGGGTTTGAGTAATTGCGAAGCATTTGGAAGGTCATTTATGTATAGGAGAAAGAGAAGAGGGCCAAGGACACTTCCCTGTGGGACACCAACTGTAATTGGTTGTGCAGAAGAGTTTGCCCCATTTGCGTACACATATTGGCTTCTGTTGCTGAGGTAAGACTTGAGGTAGTTGAGGGAGTGCCCTCTTATACCATAGTGTGACAATTTTACGTGGAGCAAGTCATGGTCAACTGTATCAAAAGCTTTACGTAAGTCAATGAAGATCCCCAGTGGGACTTCTTTTTTCTCTATTGCAGTGTATATATGTTCTAGCATGTGTATAATAGCATCATTAGTATTTTTATTAGGCCTGAATCCAAATTGGCAGGGGTTGAGTATGTTTTGGGAGATAAGGTAGGAGTAGATTCGTTTATGAATTAATTTTTCGAAGATTTTTGAGAGAGGGTGTAAGTTGGATATTGGCCTATAGTTATTCAACTCTGTTTGGTCTCCTCCTTTGTGGATCGGGGTGACCCTTGCTATTTTGAGTACTGTAGGGAAGGTGGAGGATTCAATGGATTTGTTAAAGAGTGTTGCAATGATTGGTGATAGCACTTGTGACACTTTTTTGTATATAAGGGGTGGTAAGGTATTTAAATCTCCTGCCTTGTTTTTTAGTGCGTTGATAATAAGGGAGACTTCGTATGGGTTAGTCGGAGCTAGGAACAGTGTGTTCGGGTAGTTGCCGGTGAGGTAGTCATTTGGTGGGGTATCTGAGCTTGGGATTTTATTGGCAAGGTTTTGTCCTATAGTGGAGAAGAAATCATTGAGTCTGTTTGCTGTTTCTGTTGGTGGGAGTTGGGGTTCATCTGTTTTTGCTAATTTTATTTCGCTATTTCGTGATATCTTTTTTGTTCCCAGAATTTCTGATAGGGTTTTCCAGGTCTTTTTTATATCACCTCGTAAGTTGGATAATCTGTTCTCATAATACAATTTTTTTGCCCTTCTTATCAGGCTGGTTAGGATTGACGAGTAACGTTTTGTTTGGTCTCTGGTTATGTGACCCATTCTGTACTGTTTTTCATATTGGTGTTTTGTATTTATGGATTTGAGAATGCTGGGTGTTAGCCAGGGACTGTTCAGTCTCTTTGCTGTCATCTGTTTAGTTTTTTTAGGGCAGTGCTTGTTATAGAGGTATTGGTTTTTTTTTAGAAAATTATTAATACATTCGTCAATATCTGTATAGGTTTCTAGCTCAGTGTGCCAATCAATGTTTGCTATTGCTGTTGTGAAGTTATTAATGGCTGCCTCATTGTGAAGTCTGAAGGTGACTTTAGTAGTGTCTTGGGGTAGTTTACCAAGAGTTGTTATGAGGAAAGTAGGGTAGTGGTCTGTGGTATTATCTGTAATTATGCCTGATTTTAAAGGGGATATGGTGTTGGTCCAGATGTGGTCAAGTAGGGAAACACTAGTCTCTGTAACTCTTGTAGGTTTTGTTACTGTTGGTAGTAACATACAGTTACTCATTGTGTTTGTGAATTCAGTAACGTGTGGGTCCTGGTCTTGCAGGAGATTTATATTGAAGTCACCTGAGAGTAGTATTTAGTTGTAGCTACAGTTTGAGTAAAACATAAATGGATCAAAAGGAAAATGGCAACAAGTAAGAGAGAAGAGAGAGATGAAAGTTTATAAACTAAGAGATGAGGAAGTTAGGGTGAAATATAAGCAGCTATTGACAGAATGGTAGTTGGGGGGGGGGGATTGAAGAGGGGTCTGATAGTTTTAAAAAGGCAGTGTTAGAAGGCTAGCCAGAAGTTTGTGGCTATAGGAGGGTGGTTGCTGGAGAAAACTGGAGTGATTGGTGGAATAATGAGGTAAAGGGAGTGATGAAAGAGAAAAAGGTTGCTTATGAGAGGCTTTTACAAAGCAGAAATGGTATAAGAAGGGTGGAGTATATGGTAAGCAAAGGAGGGTGGAATATATGGAGAGTGAAAGATACACGAAGAGAGTGGTGAGGGAGTGCAAAAGGAGAGAAGTTGATAGAGTGGGTGAGGCACTGTCAACAAATTTTGCTGAGAATGAGAAAAAAATTTGAATGAGATAAATAGGTTAAGAAAATCTAGAGAATGAATGGATATGACAGTTGAAAACAGAATAGGGGAGTTAGTAGATGGGGAGTTGGAGATATTGGGAAGATGTGCTTGGAGATATTGGGAATTGTGCTTGTTATAATAAGGTTAGGTAAGTTTTCAATGGTGCCCCTTGGCCTGCTGGCTAAAGCTCTCACTTCACATGGTGAGTTTACCTGGAGAGAGTTCCGGGGGTCAACGCCCCCGCGGCCCGGTCTGTGACCAGGCCTCCTGGTGGATCAGAGCCTGATCAACCAGGCTGTTGCTGCTGGCTACACACAAACCAACGTACGAGCCACAGCCCGGCTGGTCAGGAACCGACTTTAGGTGCTTGTCCAGTGCCAGCTTGAAGACTGCCAGGGGTCTGTTGGTAATCCCCCTTATGTATGCTGGGAGGCAGTTGAACAGTCTCGGGCCCCTGACACTTATTGTATGGTCTCTTAACGTGCTAGTGACACCCCTGCTTTTCATTGGGGGGATGTTGCATCGTCTGCCAAGTCTTTTGCTTTTTAGTGAGTGATTTTCGTGTGCAAGTTCGGTACTAGTCCCTCTAGGATTTTCCAGGTGTACATAATCATGTATCTCTCCCGCCTGCGTTCCAGGGAATACATGTTTAGGAACCTCAAGCGCTCCCAGTAATTGAGGTGTTTTATATCCGTTATGCTCGCCGTGAAGGTTCTCTGTACATTTTCTAGGTCAGCAATTTCACCTGCCTTGAAAGGTGCTGTTAGTGTGCAGCAATATTCCAGCCTAGATAGAACAAGTGACATGAAGAGTGTCATCATGGGCTTGGCCTCCCTAGTTTTGAAGGTTCTCATTATCCATCCTGTCATTTTTCTATTAGATGCGATTGATACAATGTTATGGTCCTTGAAGGTGAGATCCTCCGACATGATCACTCCCAGGTCTTTGACGTTGGTGTTTCGCTCTATTTTGTGGCCAGAATTTGTTTTGTACTCTGATGAAGATTTAATTTCCTCATGTTTACCATATCTGAGTAATTGAAATTTCTCATCGTTGAACTTCATATTGTTTTCTGCAGCCCACTGAAAGATTTGGTTGATGTCCGCCTGGAGCCTTGCAGTGTCTTCAATGGAAGACACTGTCATGCAGATTCGGGTGTCATCTGCAAAGGAAGACACGGTGCTGTGGCTGACATCCTTGTCTATGTCGGATATGAGGATGAAGAACAAGATGAGAGTGAGTACTGTGCCTTGTGGAACAGAGCTTTTCACCGTAGCTGCCTCGGACTTTACTCTGTTGGCGACTACTCTCTGTGTTCTGTTAGTGAGGAAATTACAGATCCATCGACCGACTTTTCCTGTTATTCCTTTAGCACGCATTTTGTGCGCTATTACGCCATGGTCACACTTGTCGAAGGCTTTTGCAAAGTCTGTATATATTACATCTGCATTCTTTTTGTCTTCTAGTGCATTTAGGACCTTGTCGTAGTGATCCAATAGTTGAGACAGACAGGAGCGACCTGTTCTAAACCCATGTTGCCCTGGGTTGTGTAACCGATGGGTTTGTAGATGGGTGGTGATCTTGCTTCTTAGGACCCTTTCAAAGATTTTTATGATATGGGATGTTAGTGCTATCGGTCTGTAGTTCTTTGCTGTTGCTTTACTGCCCCCTTTGTGGAGTGGGGCTATGTCTGTTGTTTTTAGTAACTGTGGGACAACCCCCGTGTCCATGCTCCCTCTCCATAGGATGGAAAAGGCTCGTGATAGGGGCTTCTTGCAGTTCTTGATGAACACGGAGTTCCATGAGTCTGGCCCTGGGGCAGAGTGCATGGGCATGTCATTTATCGCCTGTTCGAAGTCATTTGGCATCAGGATAACATCGGATAGGCTGTGTTAACCAAATTTTGTGGCTCTCTCATAAAAAATTCATTTTGATCTTCGACTCTCAGTCTGGTTAGCGGCTTGCTAAAAACTGAGTCATATTGGGACTTGAGTAGCTCACTCATTTCGTTGCTGTCATCTGTGTAGGACCCATCTTGTTTAAGTAGGGGCCCAATACTGGACGTTGTTCTCGACTTTGATTTGGCATAGGAGAAGAAATACTTTGGGTTTCTTTCGATTTCATTTATGGCTTTTAGTTCTTCCCGCGATTCCTGACTCCTATAAGATTCCTTTAGCTTAAGTTCAATGCTTGCTATTTCTCTGACCAGTGTCTCCCTACGCATTTCAGATATATTGACCTCTTTTAGCCGCTCTGTTATTCTTTTCCGTTGCCTGTAAAGGGAGCGCCTGTCTCTTTCTATTTTACATCTACTCCTCCTTTTTCTTAGAGGAATAAGCCTTGTGCATACATCGAGTGCCACCAAGTTAATCTGTTCTAGGCATAAGTTGGGGTCTGTGTTGCTTAGTATATCTTCCTAGCTTATATCGGTTAGGACTTGGTTTACTTGGTCCCACTTTATGTTTTTGTTATTGAAGTTGAATTTGGTGAATGCTCCCTCGTGACTAGTCTCATTATGTTGGTCTGGGGCTCCGCGGATACATGTCTGAACCTCAATTTTGTTGTGATCTGAGTATATTTTTTTGATATGGTGACATTTCTTATCAGATCATCATTGTTAGTGAAGATGAGGTCTAGTGTATTCTCCAGTCTACAGTGGACCCCAGGATAATGATATTATTTCAATCCAGAAGTCTGTTTGGGTGCCGTTATAGACCGAATTTGTTCCCATAAGAGATATTGTGAATTAGATTAGTCCGTTTCAGACCCCCAAAAATACACCTACAAAAGCACTTACAAAAATACACTTACATTATTGGTCGAGTTGGGAGCTGATCATTATGCGGGGGTCCACTGTAGTAGGCTCTATTATTTGCTGGTTTAAATTGAATTTTGTGCAGAGATTTAAAAGCTCGTGTGAGTGTGAGTTTTCATCAGAGCTGCCTCCTGGCGTTATTACTGCAACAATATTATTTGCTATATTCCTCCATTTTAGGTGCCTTAAGTTGAAATTCCCCAGGAGCAAGATGTTGGGTGCAGGAGCTGGAAGATTTTCCAGACAGTGGTCAATTTTTAACAGCTGTTCCTGGAATTGCTGGGATGTTGCATCTGGAGGCTTGTAGACTACCACAATGACTAGGTTTTGGTTCTCGACCTTTACTGCTAAAACTTCCACTACATCATTTGAGGCATTAAGCAGTTCTGTGCAAACAAGTGACTCTGCAATGTACAGGCCAACCCCCCCCCCCTTTTCCCTGTTCACTCTGTCACATCTGTATAGGTTGTAACCTGGGATCCATATTTTGTTGTCCAAGTGATCCTTCACGTGGGTCTCAGTGAAATCCGCGAACATTGCCTTTGCCTCTGCAAGCAGTCCATGGATGAAAGGTATTTTGTTGTTTGTTGCTGGCTTTAGACCCTGTATATTTGCAAAGAAGAATGTCATCGGACTGGTGGTATTGTTGGTACTGGGGGGGGATTTTTTTTCCGGCATTAGTATCTGTATCTGTTGGTTTGGAGTGGAAGCCATCGACTGTGGTTCCACTCCAGGAATGACTGAATTTGGTGTACGATTTCTGCCATTTCCTGCCAGTTTTTTTCCTTCCTGGCACTAAAAAACCTCTCCCCCTTGAGTGACTGTGGCTACCCAGGTTTTCCCATGGCCTGAGGGTCCAATTCCCGGCGAGAGTAGAAACATTGGGCATGTTTCCTTACACCGGTTGTCCATTCACCCATCAATAAAAAATGGGTACCTGGATGTTAGTTGACTTGTGTGGGTCGCATCCTGGGACAAAACTGACCAAATTTGCCTTTAATGCTCAGCATAACAAGCAGCTTTCTATACAGTAGTACATTATTGATGTCAGCTAAGACTGTATACTTTGTACATGTACTTGTAGAAATAAGGATATTATTTATTTAACATAAATGAAAAAATGTATCTTTAAACGTTTAAGAGAAAATTTTAGAGAGGGCTTAATTTTAAATGAGTTCTTGCTAATTGACCAGTTTTACCTATTCGGCATGACATACATACAGCCTCTCCTCACTTAGCGACGTACTCGTTTACTGTCAACTTGAACTTACAATGGGCTCTCTGATCAGTATACATACATAAGTAATGTGTATTAGAGCTGAGTTCCTCTATTCTGTTTATTACAATATACAGTACAGTACTGTATAAACATTTAAAAATATGCCAGAAGTGTTATAAATGGTGCAAAGGTGACAATATCAAAGATGGTTAACACAAACCCACTACCATTATAGTATGCTCCTAGTTTAGCTACAAATTCATTTGCCAACATGGTCTTAGGAATGGAACTCCACTGTTGAGCAATCAGCCCTACTTACACTACTATTCACTCATCTATCCCTACCTCACCTATGCTGTTTGTGCCTGGGGATCAACAGCAGTAACTCACCTAAAGCCAATAATAATCTAACAGAAAGCTGCAGTAGGAATTATCATGCAATCCAATGCAAGACAACACCCCCTCCCCCACTCTTCAAAGACCTAAACAGAACATTCACACCTACTATTGTGCAACCTACATTTACAGAACCATAAATTCTAATGTTAACCCTGAACTAAAACACTTTCTTGATAGTTGCAACAGGACCCATAGACACAATACCAGACACAAAAATCTCTATGACATTCCTCGTGTCAAGCTGAACCTCTACAAAAATTTGGTGTACATAAAAGGGCCTAAAATCTGGAACTCCCTGCCTGAAAACTATAGAACTGCAGACTCGACCACCATTTTGAAAACTACTATTAAAAAACCATCTTCTCTCCCTAACACCCCATCATCAGCTAACCAAATGAAAACCACCTAATTCTCTTTTTTTGTATCATGAACACATCCAAAACTTACTCTCATTATCTGTAATTCCCCCTAATTTACACTTACACCCACCCAAATGATTGTAAACATAAAATTCCTCATATAACTATTGCCTATTAACCCTTTGACTGTTTTGGCCCATCTTACGAGCCAATGTTTTTGACGTATTAATACGCATAAATTCTAGCAGCTTCAAATCAAGAGGGAGAAAGCTGGTGTGCCCACATGTGAGAGAATGGGTCTCCTTGGTCAGTGTTTGCAATGTAAAAAAAATCATGGAGCCAGTGGTGCAGTGTGTGAATGCCATTTCAGTAGTCCTTGTTCAGCATGCCTAGGGGTAAGAAATAACTGACTCCCCGGTGAATCTGGGACTCTTCCCCAGTGATAGCTCTAATACAGAAGGAAGTGTGTGTGTGAAGATGAATTTCATGGCTTTGAGGAGTTTATGATGGAAAGCAATGCCCAGGATACCAGAAGGAAGGAAGGAAGGAAGAAAGAAAGTAATGAAGGAGGGAAGGAAGAGATAAGAGGAAGGAAGGAACGTGGGGAAGAAGGCATGGTACCCCATGGGTGTTGATAGGCAGTAAGGGTAGTGAGTGATGGTATAATTTGTCATTCTGACAGCAGCCACACCCTGACTCAGCACATTTAGAAGTCCACACACACAACACCAAGCTTCCAGATGCTAATAGCAGTTGTAGGAAAGTGTCCAGTGACTATATATGTGTATATATATTATAGAACAATAGTGATAAAAAAAATTTTGTATTGTTGGTTTGTGTAAACAAGTTTTGTAAACAGTATAATTATGATGTTTGTGTAGTTATTGTGTTGCATACAATGATTGTATATTTGCACATTGCACTTGGGTCTCACTGGCCACATAAGTTACTTAGAAAAAAAAATATTGGAAAATACAAGAAACCTTTGAATGGGAGTAAATATAAGTGTTAAATATAAGTGTACCAGGTGAGTGGCATTTGCCACTGTTGCCACATGTGGCTCATTTTCTGCCAACTTTATGCCTCTATATCTTGATAAGTACTGATCACAACAAAATTTTTTTAGGCTTAAAACACTAGGCAAATTAATCCTAACATTTTGGTAAGAATTTTTTTTTTTTTTCGAATATTTTGCGACATGGGGAGACAATTTCAGAATTAGGGTTGTGATAGTCCAAGGGTTAAATCTTAAGTTAGTCCTAAGTTTGCCTATGATACTTTTCCAATATATATGAACTTTAATAGAAACAATGTATCATGCCAAGACAAATCCAATCCCATTACTAAATATACCATTTGTAATACACCTACCATCCGACTTACGACCTGCTCGACATACGACGACTCGACTTACGACTGTGTTTTTTATGCCAAATTTCTGGGA